ACGACACAAGATAGAAGAAGGAGGTTGAAAACCACGGCACTGGGCTATAACCTGGTATCTATGAGACGACACAAGATAGAAGAAGGAGGTTGAAAACCACGGCACTGGGCTACAACCTGGTATCTATGAGACGACACAAGATAGAAGAAGGAGGTTGAAAACCACGACACTGGGCTACAACCTGGTATCTGTGAGACGACACAAGATAGAAGAAGGAGGTTAAAAACCACGACACTGGGCTACAACCTGGTATCTATGAGTCGACACAAGATAGAAAGAGGTTAAAAACCACGACACTGGGCTACAACCTGGTATCTGTGAGACGACACAAGATAGAAGAAGGAGGTTAAAAACCACGACATTGGGCTATAACCTGGTATCTATGAGACGACACAAGATAGAAGAAGGAGGTTGAAAACCACGACATTGGGCTATAACCTGGTATCTGTGAAACGACACAAGATAGAAGGAGGTTGAAACCACGACATTGGGCTACAACCTGGTATCTATGAGACGACACAAGATAGAAGAAGGAGGTTGAAACCACGACATTGGGCTATAACCTGGTATCTATGAGACGACACAAGATAGAAGAAGGAGGTTGAAAACCACGGCACTGGGCTACAACCTGGTATCTGTGAGACGACACAAGATAGAAGAAGGAGGTTGAAAACCACGACACTGGGCTACAACCTGGTATCTATGAGACGACACAAGATAGAAGAAGGAGGTTGAAAAACCACGGCACTGGGCTATAACCTGGTATCTATGAGACGACACAAAGATAGAAGAAGGAGGTTGAAAACCACGGCACTGGGCTACAACCTGGTATCTATGAGACGACACAAGATAGAAGAAGGAGGTTGAAAAACCACGACACTGGGCTACAACCTGGTATCTGTGAGACGACACAAGATAGAAGAAGGAGGTTAAAAACCACGACACTGGGCTACAACCTGGTATCTATGAGTCGACACAAGATAGAAAGAGGTTAAAAACCACGACACTGGGCTACAACCTGGTATCTGTGAGACGACACAAGATAGAAGAAGGAGGTTAAAAACCACGACACTGGGCTACAACCTGGTATCTATGAGTCGACACAAGATAGAAAGAGGTTAAAAACCACGACACTGGGCTACAACCTGGTATCTATGAGACGACACAAGATAGAAGAAAGAGGTTGAAAACCACGACACTGGGCTACAACCTGGTATCTGTGAGACGACACAAGATAGAAGAAGGAGGAGGTTGAAAGGGGGTTCTTATTATGGGAATCATGTAGTCTCTGGAGTATTCAAACTTTCATGTAGTTGTTCGGAGACAGAAAACATATATGGTGTCCCACAACCCACTCGTGATGTGACTTGAGTGTGCTGTAGACTCACACAGACTTCTAGTGACCCACAACCCATCACTGTTGGCGGATGTTGTACGCGTGTGGGTGAACTGTCTCTGCCAACAGGCTACTTGTGCTCAGACTGTATCTGTCCTTGTCACTGACTGCCATATCATCTGTCACTGTTCTTAGATGTGCCAATCTACACCGGCATATGTATACTAGTTTACGTAGATTATTTTTAATGACGCCTTGTTCTGCTCGGATGTAACACATTGTTCTGTATTGTCGACGTTTTCTATTATATCTGACGTGTCTAGGGGTATATCGGCGATTCTTCTTCTTTTTTTTTTTCGTCTTTTCTTCTTCTTTTTCTTCTTCTTTTTCTTTTTCTTCTTCATCTTCTTCTTCTTCTTCTTCTTCTTCTTCTTCTTCTTCTTCTTCTTCTTCTTCTTCTTCTTCTTCTTCTTCTTCTTCTTCTTCTTCTTCTTCTTCTTCTTCTTCTTTTCTTCTTCTTCTTCTTCTTTTCTTCTTCTTTTCTGTCTTCTTCTTCTTCTTCTTCTTCTTCTTCTTCTTCTTCTTCTTCTTCTTCTTCTTCTTCTTCTTCTTCTTCTTCTTCTTCTTCTTCTACGCGTTCGCCCTTTAAAGGATGATTGGTACGTTGCATTGTGGTTTACAGCTGGCCTGTGATTATTGCACATTTGAGCTCAGCTGATCTTATTTTAACAAACTGCTAATTAATCACGTTTTACAATGTGTTTGTTTATGGAGCAGTGGATCTATTTGCCCGGAACCCACACGGGGTTGGCCTTTTATAGAAATGTTATGGCACAGATCCATGTGTCCTGTAGATAACCAGTAGTCCGTAGTGATGATATCATATCTGGTGTGCACCTCGCCTCAAGGAGACAGTGGTTGGCTGTCTTGTTATGTCCCACACAACACACAGGATGTGAATCGGTAGAACGGAAACGATCGGCTCGCGACCCCCTGACTCCACAGCCTTCAGATACCAGATTTGGATCTGAATGAGTTGTTGTTTTCAGCTGAGATTGAAATGTATTTTTGACCCCGGATTTCTGTTTCGGCAAGTCCTCACGTACCGCCATCTCTGATACATACTCCTGCATATTCTGGTGTCATCTCAAGGCCAGCGGAAAGGGTGCTGTCTGTAAACATTGTTGGAAATATACTCAACCTTGAGGGCTGGGAGTCTGGCGTTTCGGTGGTCTGCTTTTGTTCTTAGAATATTCTGGAAAACCATGTTTGTGGTGACGACATTCAGGGGTAGCTTTTGAATGATATTTATTTACAGTCATTGTCTGTCTGTGTCGTAGAGCTGTTTGTTTGATGTAGACAGTGATGTGCAGTGTGTCTTTCTACGCCTAGAGTGTGTTTGTACAGACTGTAAGTCCGAATCTGTAAATGTGTTTTCAGCTTTATCTGTCTGTCGGTCTGTCTGTCTGTCTCACTGTCTGTCGGAGACCCCTTCTATTTGTCTGCCGCAGATCCTGAAGCAGCTTGTCAGTCATAGGCCCCGTGACAGTTTGTCTGTCGTGGAATGTCTTCTTAAGTTGGAACAACTGTTTCTCTATCAGTCTGTCCTAAACAGTTATCAGCGACACAATCAAGTGGTGGCGCTGTTTGCCTCGCGGTCGCGTTTTCGTTTCACTGATGCCTCGTTCACTACACGATTGCAGCTTTTACACAGATTCATGTTGATCGTCGCCGGATCTGCGGAGCTCGTGCATCGTGTGACTCCCGGCGGACTGTTAGCCGTTTTTCAGAGAGGCCTTGACATATAGGATCAAATCTGGTGCAATGAAGCCGATCTTCCTGCCTTCCGGGCCCGACAGTTATATAATTAGGTAAGACTGCCGGCTACGGGAAGCCGCAAATGTGAAAATTGATTGGAATGAACATTTTCCGCGTGTGTGGTAACTCTAGACAGTCCTTCATCTGAGTGCAAATTATTATCCAGCCATTTATTTTCTGTTTACTGCATGCAGTCTTCTAGTCTCTTCCCCCCGCGTGTTCCGTCAGGTGTTGTTTTCTGCAAACTCATAATTTCCCATGACGTCTGCTGCATGATTGACGGCGCCATGTTTTCTACAGTTGTTACTCATCGTTGCGCGCCGTTCTGCTCTCCTGGCCTTACTTCCGGTGATCATAGTGTCTGTCTACATATCTGTCTGTCCCTCTGCCTGCCTGTCTGTCTGTACCTGATTTATCTGTCTGTCCCTCTGTCTGTCTGTACCTGAATAATCTGTTGCTCTGTAACTGTCTGTGTATTGTGTCCATCTGCTGTGTCTGTCTGTCCCTCTGCCTGTCTGTCTGTCTGTTTCCTGAATAATCTGTTTTTCTGTAACTGTCTGTGTATTGTGTCCATCTGCTGTGTCTGTCTGTCCCTCTGCCTGCCTGTCTGTCTGTACCTGAATAATCTGTCGCTCTGTAACTGTCTGTGTATTGTGTCCATCTGCTGTGTCTGTCTGTCCCTCTGCCTGTCTGTCTGTACCTGAATAATCTGTTGCTCTGTAACTGTCTGTGTATTGTGTCCATCTGCTGTGTCTGTCTGCACATGATATGGTAGCATCAGTCACATCTCAACTCGGTACCACTATCTAGCGTACACTAGAGACACACACAAAATCCCGCCGCGTGTTTTCAATTTCTCTCTCTCTCTCTCTCTCTCTCTCTCTCTCTCTCTCTCTGTCTGTCTGTCTGTTTCTCTCTCTCTCTCTGTCTCTCTCTCTCTCTGCCTGTCTCTCTCTCTCTCTCTCTCTCTCTCTCACTCTCTCTCTCTGTCTCTCTCTCTCTGCCTGTGTGTGTCTCTCTCTGTCTCTCTCTCTCTGCCTGTGTCTCTCACTCTCTCACTCTCTCTCTCTGTCTGTCTGTCTCTCTCTCTGTCTCTCTCTCTCTGCCTGTGTCTCTCACTCTCTCTCTCTCTCTCTCACTCTCTCTCACCCTCTCTCTGTCTCTCTCTCTCTCTGTCTCTCTCTCTCTCTGTCTCTCTCTGTCTCTCTCTCTCTCTCTCTCTCTCTCTCTCTCTCTCTCTCTAACATGTCTGCCCTTTTCATGCCTCTCTTTGTGTCAGCGCCTAACCAATAAACCGTTACATGTCCTCTGTATTGCAACCATCTAGAGGAAAGCACTATGATTTCAAACGTCTCCAGATATTGCACTGTAAAAACGTGTCTGGTTGATTGTTTCCAGAACGTGTCTAACAACGGTTGTTTTTGGTGCTCAGCGGTGACTTGCCAGCTTGATGAGTGTCATTTGTTGGACACTTGCAGTCTTTGTCTCATGGTGCCATATCTGTGGCAGTAGTTCGTCTAGCCTTGTTGTTGACATCGCTGAAACAAGATGGCTGGCCAGAGAGTATACCTTCTGGAGATTGGCTCACATCATTGACTCGCCGGTAGACGACGTCGTCGCCGGGCTGGACAGTATTTGGGTCTGTCACCTTTGACCGCATCAGCACTGCAGGAGTTCATTTCAGGGCTGTTGGTTTTGTGCAAAGTTAAGCCGTTAAATGGCGCACATAACCTAGTCACAATTATAACCTACAGCTCCCCTGTCGGGGATACTGTTTGAACGTGACGATTGTTTTCCCCCAGCAAAGCGCCTACCTACCTCTTATCTATTAAAGATGGTTGTAATGATGGCTACGAGAAAATCTGTTTCAGACAAACGGACGAAGAAGAATCATTGAGATGTAGATGAGAGGTGTGAAGAAGTGTGTTGTACTGACAGTAACGACTTGTCATATCATTGAGATGTAGTTGAGAGGTGTGAAGAAGTGTGTTGTACTGACAGTAACGACTTGTCATATCATTGAGATGTAGTTGAGAGGTGTGAAGAAGAGTGGGTACTGACAGGGACTTGGGAGAGATGTAGTTGAGAGGTGTGAAGAAGAGTGTTGTACTGGGGTAACGACTTGTCATATCATTGAGATGTAGTTGAGAGGTGTGAAGAAGGGGTGTTGTACTGACAGTAACGACTTGTCATATCATTGAGATGTAGTTGAGAGGGGGTGAAGAAGAGTGGGTGTTGTACTGACAGTAACGACTTGCCATATCATTGAGATGTAGATGAGAGGTGGGAAGAAGAGTGTTGTACTGACAGTAACGACTTGTCATATCATTGAGATGTAGTTGAGAGGTGGGAAGAAGAGTGTTGTACTGACAGTAACGACTTGCCATATCATTGAGATGTAGTTGAGAGGTGTGGGGAAGAGTGGTTGTACTGACAGTAACGACTTGGTCATATCATTGAGATGTAGTTGAGAGGGGGAAGGGAGAGTGTTGTACTGACAGTAACGACTTGTCATATCATTGAGGGGTAGTTGGGAGGGGGGAAGAAGAGTGTTGTACTGACAGTAACGACTTGTCATATCATTGAGATGTAGTTGAGAGCTGTGAAGAAGAGTGTTGTACTGACAGTAACGGGGGGTCATATCATTGAGATGTAGTTGAGAGGGGGGAAGAGGGGGGGTACTGACAGTAACGACTTGTCATATCATTGAGTATTGGGGTGTGAAGAAGGGGGGGAAGGGGACTTGGGGGGGGGGGGGGGGGAGGGGGGGGGGGGTCATATCAGTAACGAGGGTCATATCATGAGGGGGGGAAGGGGGAGTGGGTACTGACAGTAACGACTTGTCATATCATTGAGATGTAGTTGAGAGCTGTGAAGAAGAGTGTTGTACTGACAGTAACGACTTGGGGGGGGGAAGAGATGTAGTTGAGAGGGGTGAAGAAGGGGGTGTTGTACTGACAGTAACGACTTGTCATATCATTGAGATGTAGTTGAGAGGTGGGGAAGAAGAGTGTTGTACTGACAGTAACGGGGGGTCATATCATTGAGATGTAGTTGAGAGGTGTGGGGAAGGGTGGGGTACTGACAGTAACGACTTGTCATATCATTGAGGGGTAGTTGAGGGGGGTGAAGAAGAGTGTTGTACTGACAGTAACGACTTGGGGGGGGGGGGGGAGATGTAGTTGAGAGCTGTGAAGAAGAGTGTTGGGGGGGGGTAATGACTTGTCATATCATTGAGATGTAGTTGGGAGGGGGGGAAGAAGAGTGGGGTACTGACAGTAACGACTTGTCATATCATTGAGATGGGGTTGAGGGGGGTGAAGAAGGGGGTTGTACTGGGGGTAACGACTTGTCATATCATTGAGATGTAGTTGAGAGGGGTGAAGAAGGGGGTTGTACTGACAGTAACGACTTGTCATATCATTGAGATGGGGGGGAGAGGGTGGAAGGGGAGTGGGGGTACTGACAGTAACAACTTGTCATATCATTGAGATGGGAGTTGGGAGGGGTGAAGAAGAGTGTTGGGACAGTGGGGGGACAGGGGGGACTTGGGGGGGGGGGGGGGAGGGGGGGGGGAGAGATGGGGAAGGGGAGGAGGGTTGGGACAGTAACGACTTGTCATATCATTGAGATGTAGTTGAGGGGGGGTGAAGAAGAGGGGGGTGGGGGACTTGTAATCATTGAGGGGTCATATCATTGGTGTTGGGGACAGGGGGGGGGGGGGGGGTTGAGGGGGGGGAAGAGTGTTGTACTGGGGGTAACGGGGGGTCATATCATTGAGGGGTAGTTGAGAGGTGGGAAGGGGGGGGAGGTGGGGGGGACAGGGGGGGGGGGGGGGGGGGGGGGGGGGGGGGGTTGAGGGGGGGGGGGGGGAAGAGTGGGTGGGGGGACAGTAACGGGGGGGGGGGGGGGGGGAGATGGGGGGGGAGAGGGGTGAAGGGGGGGGTTGTACTGGGGGGGGGGGGGGGGGGGGGGGGGGAGGGGGGGGGAGAGGGGGGGGGAAGGGGGGGGGGGGGGGGGTAACGGGGGGGGGGGGGGGGAGGGGTAGGGGAGGGGGGGTGAAGGGGAGGGGGGTACTGACAGGGGGGGGGGGTCATATCATTGAGGGGTAGGGGAGAGGGGTGGGGGAAGAGTGTTGTACTGGGGGTAACGGGGGGGGGGGGGGGGGAGATGGGTTGGAGGGTGTGGGGGGAGGAGGGGGGGGGGGGGGGGGGGGACTTGTCATATCATTGAGGGGGGGTTGAGGGGTGGGAAGAAGGGGGGGGGGGGGGGGGGGTAACGGGGGGGGGGGGGGGGGGAGATGTAGTTGAGAGGGGGGAAGGGGAGGTTGTACTGGGGGTAACGACTTGTCATATCATTGAGGGGTAGTTGAGGGGTGTGAAGAAGGGGGTTGTACTGACAGTAACGGGGGGGGGGGGGGGGAGGGTAGGGGGGGGGGGGGGGGGGGGTGGGGGGGGAGGGGGGGGGGGGGGGGGGGGGGGTATCATTGAGGGGGGGGGGGTGGGGGGGGGGACAGTAACGGGGGGGGGGGGGGGGGGGGGGGTAGTTGGGGGGTGGGGGGGGGAGGGGGGGGGGGAGGGTAACGGGGGGGGGGGGGGGGGGATGTAGGGGAGGGGGGTGGGGGGAGGGTGTTGTACTGACAGTAACGACTTGTCATCATATCATTGAGATGGGGGGGGAGGTGTGAAGGGGGGTGGGGGGGGAGGGGGTAGGGGGGGGGGGGGGGGGGGGGGGGGGTAGTTGGAGGGGGGGGGGGAGTGTTGGGGGGGGGGTAACGACTTGTCATATCATTGAGATGTAGGGGGGAGAGGGGTGAAGAGGGAGGGGGTACTGACAGGGGGGGGGGGGGGGGGGGGGGGGAGGGGTAGGGGAAGAGGGGTGGGGACAGGGGGTGGGGGGGGTTGGGGGGGGGGGGGGGGGTCATTGGGTTCATCTGAGATGTAGTTGAGAGGGGGGGGGGGGGGGTGGGGGGGGGGGGGGGGGGGGGGGGGGGGGGGGGGGGGGGTCATATCATTGAGATGTAGGGGAGGGGGGGAAGGGGGGGTTGTACTGGGGGTAACAACTTGGGGGTGGGGGGAGGGGGGGGGGTTGAGGGGTGTGAAGGGAGTGTTGGGGGGGGGGTAAATGGGGGGTCATATCATTGGGATGGGGGGGGAGGGGGGGGGGGGGGGGGAGGTTGGGGGGGGGGGGGGACTTGTCATATCATTGAGATGTAGGGGAGAGGGGTGAAGAAGAGGGTTGTACTGACAGTAACGGGGGGTCATATCATTGAGGGGGGGTTGAGAGGGGGGAAGGGGAGGGTTGTACTGGGGGGGGGGGGGGGGGGGGGGGGGGGAGGGGTAGTTGGGGGGGGGGGGGGGGGGGAGTGGGGTACTGGGGGTAACGACTTGTCATATCATTGAGATGGGGGGGGAGGGGGGGAAGGGGGGTAACGACTTACTGGGGGGGGGGACTTGGGGGGGGGGGGGGGGTAGTTGGGGGGGGGGGGGGGAGAAGGGGTACTGGGGGGGGGGGGGGTCATATCATTGAGGGGGGGGGAGGGGGGTGAAGAAGGGGGGGGGGGGGGGGGGGGGGGACTTGGGGGGGGGGGGGGGGGGGGGTTGGGGGGGGGGGGGAAGAGGGGGTACTGGGGGGGGGGGGGTCATATCATTGGGGGGGGGGGGGGAGGAGGTTGGGGGGGGGGGTCATATCATTGAGATGTAGGGGAGAGGGGGTGAAGAAGGGTGTTGGGGGGACAGTAACGGGGGGGGGGGGGGGGGGGGATGTAGTTGAGGGGGGGGGAAGGGGGGGGTTGTACTGGGGGGGGGGGGGGGGGGGGGGGGCATTGAGGGGGGGTTGAGAGGGGGGAAGGGGAGTGTTGTACTGACAGTAACGGGGGGGGGGGGGGGGGGGGAGGGGGGGGGAGGGGGGGGGGGTGTTGGGGGGGGGGGGGGGACTTGTCATATCATTGAGATGTAGTTGAGAGGGTGAAGAAGAGTGGGGGGGGGGGGGGGGGGGGGGGGGGGGGGGGGGGGGGGGGGGTTGGGGGGGGGGGGGGGGGGGGGGGGGGGACAGGGGGGGGGGGTCATATCATTGGGGGGGGTAGGGGGGGGGGGGGGGGAAGGGGGGTTGGGGGGACAGGGGGGGGGGGGTCATATCATTGAGATGTAGGGAGAGGGGGGAAGGGGAGTGTGGGGGGGGGGTAACGACTTGTCATATCATTGAGATGGGGGGGGGAGGTGGGGGGGGGGGGGGTGGGGTGGGGACAGTAACGGGGGGGGGGGGGGGGGAGATGTAGTTGGGAGGGGGGGGGGTGGGGGGGGGTTGGGGGGGGGGGGGTAAGGACTTGTCATATCATTGAGAGGGGGGGGGGGTGGAAGAAGAGTGTTGGGGACAGTAACGACTTGGGGGGGGGGAGATGGGGGGAGGGGGGGGGGAAGAGGGTTGTACTGACAGTAACGACTTGTCATATCATTGAGATGGGGTTGAGAGGGGTGGGGAAGGGGGTTGTACTGGGGGGGGGGGGGGGGGGGGGGGGGGGGGGGTTGAGAGGTGTGGGGGGGGGGGGGGGGGGGGGTAGTAATGGGGGGTCATATCATTGAGGGGGGGAGGGGGGGGTGTACTGGGGGGGGGGGGGGTGAGGGGGTAGTTGGGGGGGGGGGGGGAGTGGGGTACTGACAGGGGGGGGGGGGGGGGGAGGGGTGGGGGGGGGGGGGGGGGAGTGTTGTACTGGGGGGGGGGACTTGGGGGGGGGGGGGGGGGTAGGGGGGGGGGGTGGGGGGGGGTGGGGGGGGGGACAGTAACAACTTGGGGGGGGGGGGGATGTAGTTGAGAGGGGTGGGGAAGAGTGTTGTACTGACAGTAACGGGGGGGTCATATCATTGAGATGTAGTTGAGAGGGGTGAAGGGGAGGTTGGGGGACAGTAACGGGGGGGGGGGGGGGGGGGGGTAGGGGGGAGGGGGGGAAGGGGGGGGTTGGGGGGGGTAACGACTTGTCATATCATTGAGGGGTAGGGGAGAGGGGGGGAAGAAGAGTGGGGGGGGGACAGTAATGGGGGGGGGGGGGGGAGATGGGGGTTGGGAGGTGTGGGGAAGAGTGTTGGGGGGGACAGGGGGGACTTGGGGGGGGGGGAGATGTAGTTGAGAGGGTGGGAAGGGTGGGGTACTGGGGGTAACAATGTCATATCATTGGGATGTAGGGGGGGGGGGGAAGGGGGGGGGGGGTACTGACAGTAGGGGGGGGGGGTCATATCATTGAGATGGGGGGGGGGGGGGGGTGGGGAAGAGTGGGGTACTGGGGTAACGGGGGGGGGGGGGGGGAGATGGGTTGGGAGGGGGTGGGGGGGGGTGTTGTACTGACAGTAATCATTGACTTGGGGGGGGGGGGAGGGGTAGGGGAGGGGGGGGGGGGGGGGGTGTGGGGTACTGACAGTAACGGGGGGGGGGGGGGGGGAGGGGGGGTTGGGGAGGGGGGGGAAGGGAGTGTTGGGGGGGGGGTAACGGGGGGGTCATATCATTGGGGGGTGGGGGGGGGGGGGGGGGGTGGGGGTGGTGGTGGGGGGGGGGGGTTGTCATATCATTGAGATGTAGTTGAGGGGGTGTGAAGGGGGGTGGGGTACTGACAGGGGGACTTGGGGGGGGGGGGAGGGGTAGTTGAGGGGGGTGGGGAAGAGGGTTGGGGGGGGGGGTAACGGGGGGTCATATCATTGGGAGGGGTTGAGGGTGTGGAAGGGGGTAGCTGACAGGAACGGGGGGTCATTGAGATGTAGTTGGGGGGGGGGAAGAAGAGTGTTGTACTGACAGTAACGACTTGTCATATCATTGAGATGTAGTTGAGAGGGGTGAAGAAGGGGGTTGTACTGACAGTAACGACTTGGGGGGGGGGGGGAGGGGGGGGGTTGAGAGGTGTGAAGAAGGTGTTGGGGGGGGGACAGTAAGGTGTGAAGAAGAGTGTTGTACGACTTGTCATATCATTGAGATGTAGTTGAGAGGGGTGAAGAAGAGTGTTGTACTGACAGTAACGACTTGGGGGGGGGGAGATGTAGGGAGGGGGGGTGAAGGGGAGTGTTGTACTGACAGTAACGACTTGTCATATCATTGAGATGTAGTTGAGAGGGGTGAAGAAGAGGGTTGTACTGACAGTAACGACTTGTCATATCATTGAGATGTAGTTGAGAGGGGGTGAAGAAGAGTGTTGGGGGGTGACAGTAACAACTTGTCATATCATTGAGATGTAGTTGAGAGGGTGAAGAAGAGTGTGTTGACTGACAGTAACGACTTGTCATATCATTGAGATGTAGTTGAGAGGTGTGAAGAAGAGTGTTGTACTGACAGTAACGACTTGTCATATCATTGAGATGGGAGGGGTGATTGAGATGTAGTTTGAGAGGGGGTGGGGAAGGGGTGGGGGTACTGACAGTAACGACTTGTCATATCATTGAGATGTAGTTGAGAGGTGTGGGGTGTTGTACTGAAGAAGACTTGTGAGATGTGTACTGACAGTGTTGTACTGACTAACGTCATATCATTGAGATGTAGTTTGAGAGCTGTGAAGAGGGAGTTGAGGGGTGAAGGGGTGTTGTACTGACAGTAACGGGGGGTCATATCATTGAGATGTAGTTGAGAGGTGTGAAGAAGAGTGTTGTACTGACAGTAACGACTTGTCATATCATTGAGATGTAGTTGAGAGGTGTGAAGAAGAGTGTTGTACTGACAGTAACGACTTGTCATATCATTGAGATGTAGTTGAGAGGTGTGAAGAAGTGTGTTGTACTGACAGTAACGACTTGTCATATCATTGAGATGTAGTTGAGAGGTGTGAAGAAGAGTGTTGTACTGACAGTAACGACTTGGGGGGGGGAGATGTAGTTGAGAGGTGTGAAGAAGAGTGTTGTACTGGGGACAGTAACGACTTGTCATATCATTGAGATGTAGTTGAGAGGTGTGAAGAAGAGTGTTGTACTGAGTAACGAAGGGGGTGTTGGGGGGGGGGGGGTACCGAGGTTGTCAACATTGTCATATCATTGATTGAGATGTAGTTGTGGGAGGTGGAAGAAGAGTGTTGTACTGACAGTAAAGAAGACTTGTCATATCATTGAGATGTAGTTGAGAGGTGTGAAGAAGAGTGTTGTACTGACAGTAACGACTTGTCATATCATTGAGATGTAGTTGAGAGGTGTGAAGAAGAGTGTTGTACTGACAGTAACGACTTGTCATATCATTGAGATGTAGTTGAGAGGTGTGAAGAAGAGTGTTGTACTGACAGTAACGACTTGTCATATCAGATGAGATGTAAGAAGAGGTTGAGAGGGTAACGACTTGTCATATCATGAGATGTAGTTGAGAGAAGAAGTGTGTTGTACTGACAGTAATGACTTGTCATATCATTGAGATGTAGTTGAGAGCTGTGAAGAAGTGTGTTGTACTTGGTAACATTGTCATATCATTGGACATGTTGAGAGGTGTGAAGAAGAGTGTTGTACTGACAGTAACGACTTGTCATATCATTGAGATGTAGTTGAGAGGTGTGAAGAAGAGTGTTGTACTGACAGTAACGACTTGTCATATCATTGAGATGTAGTTGAGAGCTGTGAAGAAGAGTGTTGTACTGACAGTAACGACTTGTCATATCATTGAGATGTAGTTGAGAGGTGTGAAGAAGAGTGTTGTACTGACAGTAATGACTTGTCATATCATTGAGATGTAGTTGAGAGGTGTGAAGAAGAGTGTTGTACTGACAGTAACGACCTGTCATATCATTGAGATGTAGTTGAGAGCTGTGAAGAAGAGTGTTGTACTGACAGTAACGACCTGTCATATCATTGAGATGTAGTTGAGAGGTGTGAAGAAGAGTGTTGTACTGACAGTAATGACTTGTCATATCATTGAGATGTAGTTGAGAGGTGTGAAGAAGAGTGTGTAACCTGATATCATTGAGATGTGGGAAGAGTGTTGTACTGACAGTAACGACTTGTCATATCATTGAGATGTAGTTGAGAGGAAGAGGTGTGAAGAGTAATGACTTGTCATATCATTGAGATGTAGTTGAGAGTAAGAAGAGTGTTGTACTGACAGTAATGACCTGTCATATCATTGAGATGTAGTTGAGAGGTGTGAAGAAGAGTGTTGTACTGACAGTAACGACTTGTCATATCATTGAGATGTAGTTGAGAGGTGTGAAGAAGAGTGTTGTACTGACAGTAATGACTTGTCATATCATTGACATGTAGTTGAGAGGTGTGAAGAAGAGTGTTGTACTGACAGTAACGACTTGTCATATCATTGAGATGTAGTTGAGAGGTGTGAAGAAGAGTGTTGTACTGACAGTAATGACTTGTCATATCATTGACATGTAGTTGAGAGGTATGAAGAAGAGTGTTGTACTGACAGTAATGACTTACCATATCATTGAGATGTAGTTGAGAGGTGTGAAGAAGAGTGTTGTACTGACAGTAACGACTTGCCACATCATTGAGATGTAGTTGAGAGCTGTGAAGAAGAATGTTATAATAACAGCCCGGTGGTGTTGGAGAAGAGTCATTCCTCTGCAAGTAATAGCAAGTTATTGGTCCAGTTCGTGGCTCTAGCAAAGTTGTGGGGAGTATGAATGAATGGTTGAAGATGTTTGTGGTTGCTCTTGAGATCCTAACTTTTCAAATATTGGTCTAGGACCCCATTTTGGTCTTGCAAAAGAATAGATTCACGGCCCCTCAATAGACACATCGTCAGATGGCTAATTAGGGCTTTGCTTAAATCCGATGTGATGGGCCGGAAGAACAGCAAGCCAACTGCTTCTTGAAAGGAGAATGCAGAAACAGCAGATAAAAGTCTTGAGTAAACCATTGTATGGACATGTTTGTCGTCTGTGTGTTTGCCTGGTAGCGTATCACCTTTGAAGACATGAGATTGTTTCTCTCAGGTTCCAGCAGTGGTACACTCGATCACCGAGAGCCAGATTCTGGCCATGCGACAGCAGTGCCAGCTGGTCTGGGAGTCCTACTTCTCTTCTGTTGACAAGATCATCAACACAGTCCTAGAGGTGAGGCTCCTGGTTTGTGCTTGATGTGTGTGGTGATGCAGGAGACTCTGTGTGTGTGTGTGTGTGTGTGTGTGTGTGTGTGTGTGTGTGTGTGTGTGTGTGTGTGCATGTGAGTACGTGGTGTCTGATTGTTGTTTGGTTTTCAACTTTTCCACTGCCAGGCAACTGACCACAAGTGTATCCATAACTCTATAATATAAGGAATGAACTACCTTTTCTGTCCCACCCCTCTGTGAGGTTGAGCCTCTTCCCCTTAGTAACATTGTTCTGTCCCACCCCCTCTGTGAGGTTGAGCCTCTTCACCTTAGTAACATTGTTCTGTCCCACCCCTCTGTGAGGTTGAGCCTCTTCACCTTAGTAACGTTGTTCTGTCCCTCCCCCTCTGTGAGGTTGAGCCTCTTCACCTTAGTAACGTTGTTCTGTCCCACTCCTCTGTGAGGTTGAGCCTCTTTACCTTAGTAACGTTGTTCTGTCCCACCCCCTCTGTGAGGTTGAGCCTCTTCACCTTAGTAACGTTGTTCTGTCCCACCCCTCTGTGAGGTTGAGCCTCTTCACCTTAGTAACGTTGTTCTGTCCCACTCCTCTGTGAGGTTGAGCCTCTTCACCTTAGTAACGTTGTTCTGTCCCCCACCCCTCTGTGAGGTTGAGCCTCTTCACCTTAGTAACGTTGTTCTGTCCCACCCCTCTGTGAGGTTGAGCCTCTTCACCTTAGTAACGTTGTTCTGTCCCACTCCTCTGTGAGGTTGAGCCTCATCACCTTAGTAACGTTGTTCTGTCCCACCCCCTCTGTGAGGTTGAGCCTCTTCACCTTAGTAACGTTGTTCTGTCCCACTCCTCTGTGAGGTTGAGCCTCTTCACCTTAGTAACGTTGTTCTGTCCCACCCCCTCTGTGAGGTGGAGCCTCTTCCCCTTAGTAACGTTGTGTAAGTAAAGGACCCTTTTCCTGCCTTCAGGCATATAGGGCTAGACCTATATTTTTATTGGCCAATCAGCGCCGGGTGGGTGATATGGTAGGTATCACGCCGGCCGCCTTTTGCTTCTTAGGACTGTACCTAGTAGCCATTCGACCTTTCATTCATGCTTGCTCAGGCTGGTCTACGTGACAGGGGTTTCATATTCGGTGCTTTTATCGGGGCGGATGCGATATCTAGAACTGGCCCTAACACCAACCCCACAGCCACAGCCTATGTCCCACAAAGAAAGGGCAGTTTACCACCCGTGGAAGCAACACTTTTCTGCTTACGAGTGAAAACGTAATGTTGGCAACCGCTGTTCACACAACAATGATTCACACGTAATGCAGAAAGCTTTGCGAAGAGAACAGTACACCGTGACACCCCTCTAACGTAGAGTCATAATCACGCTGAGCCGGGAATGCAGAGGCTGGCCAGCAGGTGCCACAGAGGTTGAAATGCAGCAATTAATTCAAGATAATACACAGACGGTTCAGTGTCAAGAGGCAGAAGAAGTGCTTGGGGTTTCTTAGCAAAAGTTAATGGTCCATGTTTGGTGCAGGAGAGCCTAGCAAATGATACTACAACATCTAGCTTAAGAATGGAGGTGGAGGCGGTCACTGCAGCTTTCCACTGGCTAGAGAATAGGACACACACACACACATCGTGATTGTAACTGATTCAGAAAGCATGCTGAGGAAGATCAGAACAGGTATGCTTTGTGCAGAGTGGCATGCTTCGCTGCGGAGGACACGAGTGAGGAGTATTGTATGGATTTTTTCACTGGGTTACGCCAGTGTGTTGGGAAATGAACAGCGGTCAGACTGGCTGGCTCTGCACAACTTTATGGAATACTGATACATGATATGGCAGACGTGGTTAGTGCCTTGTGGGAGAGCGTGTACAGTTCGGAGGAGCAGATGGATCACCACAGTCTGGTGAGATTGTTGCAGCGGGAAGTGACGAGAGGTTCTGGCAGATGCTCGAGGCTCAGAGGAAAGGCAAGACAGACGTTTAATCAGACTGCTACTGGCACCATTAGTATCGGAAGTCTTCGCTGGCTGCTGAAGATGTGGACAGAGCGCTTATGGGAATGCTCCAAGTGCTGTGATGTCGGTTCTTGAATCAAATCAAATCAATCAATCAATCAATCAACCCCTTTAACGTAGACCAGCCTGAGCAAGCATGAATGAAAGGTCAGCTAGTTTGTAGCTGGGCCTGACTTCGTTACCAGCCCCCCCCACCCCCCCCCCCCCCCCCCCCACACCCCCCCCCCCGATCAACTGTATACAACTGTTATATAAGGACACCTTATGGCAGGGCCATTCAGCTGGTGGCCCGTGGACCACATCTGGTCCCTCAGAGGCCTAGTAAGTGGCCCACGGATCATTGCCAGTGGTTTTGTATCAATGATCTGTCTGTGCTGGGGCTTAGGCCTCTAGCCCGCGACATTACCCATTTTCACAATTTTGACCCGGAGTCAACTTTGTTTAAAAAACCCTGCCCTACAGTTATACATTCACTTGTAATGTGGGTGGCTGGATGTGTCAGTTTTGAGGAGATTGACTTGCCCCAGCCCACATAGAACAGGTTTTATTACATTGTCTTCTCTACAGGTGGTGAAAAACCGTATACACACCAACTTGGTGCGACCATCCTACCACTGGAACACAGTTCCTGGTGCACATGTGGTGCTGCCTGAGTGGTCCGATATTCCCAACAACTACCCCTTCTACTACGGGCCCACAGGCGAGGTGCCCAGCGACAAGTTCACGGCCGTTATCTATGCCGTGTCCCCAGTCACAGCATCATCTCCCTTGTTTCGGGTACTCAAGATGGTTGCAAAGTCCCACTACTGCCACAAGGTGGGTGATCTGTTTGTTGATGGTTTAAGTGACCAGTGTTAACATTATGTCTAGAATTACACCCTGGTTTTTGTCTGTTTAGATACTTCAGTGAGCGTTAGTTGTAAGACTGAATGAACCATCTGTTGTGAGACCAAACTCTCTATTTTTGTGTGTCTCATTTAGGATGTCTAACTTTGGGTGTGTCATTCATGGTGTCTAACTTTGGGTGTCTCATTCAGGGTGACTAAGAGTAGGTGTCTCATTCATGGTGTCTAACTTTGGGTGTCTCATTCAGGGTGACTAAGAGTAGGTGTCTCATTCATGGTGTCTAACTTTGGGTGTCTCATTCAGGGTGACTAAGAGTAGGTGTCTCATTCATGGTGTCTAACTTTGGGTGTCTCATTCAGGGTGACTAAGAGTAGGTGTCTCATTCATGGTGTCTAACTTTGGGTGTCTCATTCAGGGTGACTAATAGTAGGTGTCTCATTCATGGTGTCTAACTTTGTGTCTCATTCTGGATGTCTAACTTTGGGTGTCTAACTTTGTGTCTCATTCTGGATGTCTAACTTTGGGTGTCTAACTTTGTGTCTCATTCTGGATGTCAGACTTTAGGCTTATAATTCTAGGTATCTAAATTTGAGTGTCTGATTGAAGGTTGTCTCATTCTGGATGTCAGACTTTAGGCTTATAATTCTAGGTATCTAACTTTGAGTGTCTGATTGAAGGTTGTCTCATTCAGTATGTCTGATTGAAGGTTGTCTCATTCAGTATGTCTGATTGAAGGTTGTCTCATTCAGTATGTCTGATTGAAGGTTGTCTCATTCAGTATGTCTGATTGAAGGTTGTCTCATTCAGTATGTCTGATTAAAGGTGTCTCATTCAGTATGTCTGATTGAAGGTTGTCTCATTCAGTATGTCTGATTAAAGGTGTCTCATTCAGTATGTCTGATTAAAGGTGTCTCATTCAGTATGTCTGATTAAAGGTTGTCTGATTCAGTATGTCTGATTAAAGGTTGTCTCATTCTGTATGTCTGATTAAAGGTGTCTCATTCAGTATGTCTGATTAAAGGTGTCTCATTCAGTATGTCTGATTAAAGGTGTCTCATTCAGTATGTCTGATTAAAGGTGTCTCATTCAGTATGTCTGATTGAAGGTTGTCTCATTCAGTATGTCTGATTGAAGGTTGTCTCATTCTGTATGTCTGATTAAAGGTGTCTCATTCAGTATGTCTGATTAAAGGTGTCTCATTCAGTATGTCTGATTAAAGGTGTCTCATTCAGTATGTCTGATTGAAGGTTGTCTCATTCAGTATGTCTGATTAAAGGTGTCTCATTCAGTATGTCTGATTGAAGGTTGTCTCATTCAGTATGTCTGATTAAAGGTGTCTCATTCAGTATGTCTGATTAAAGGTTTCTCATTCAGTATGTCTGATTAAAGGTGTCTCATTCAGTATGTCTGATTAAAGGTGTCTCATTCAGTATGTCTGATTGAAGGTTGTCTCATTCAGTATGTCTGATTGAAGGTTGTCTCATTCTGTATGTCTGATTAAAGGTGTCTCATTCAGTATGTCTGATTGAAGGTTGTCTCATTCAGTATGTCTGATTAAAGGTGTCTCATTCAGTATGTCTGATTAAAGGTTGTCTGATTCAGTATGTCTGATTAAAGGTGTCTGATTCAGTATGTCTGATTAAAGGTGTCTCATTCAGTATGTCTGATTAAAGGTAGTCTGATTCAGTATGTCTGATTAAAGGTGTCTCATTCAGTATGTCTGATTAAAGGTGTCTCATTCAGTATGTCTGATTAAAGGTTGTCTGAGATTCAGTATGTCTGATTAAAGGTGTCTCATTCAGTATGTCTGATTAAAGGTGTCTCATTCAGTATTTCTGATTAAAGGTGTCTCATTCAGTATGTCTGATTAAAGGTGTCTCATTCAGTATGTCTGATTAAAGGTGTCTCATTCAGTATGTCTGATTAAAGGTGCCTCATTCAGTATGTCTGATTAAAGGTGCCTCATTCAGTATGTCTGATTAAAGGTGCGTTATTCAGTATGTCTGATTAAAGGTGTCTCATTCAGTATGTCTGATTAAAGGTGTCTCATTCAGTATGTCTGATTAAAGGTTGTCTGATTCAGTATGTCTGATTAAAGGTGTCTCATTCAGTATGTCTGATTGAAGGTTGTCTCATTCAGTATGTCTGATTAAAGGTGTCTCATTCAGTATGTCTGATTAAAGGTGTCTCATTCAGTATGTCTGATTAAAGGTGTCTCATTCAGTATGTCTGATTAAAGGTGTCTCATTCAGTATGTCTGATTAAAGGTGTCTCATTCAGTATGTCTGATTGAAGGTTGTCTCATTCAGTATGTCTGATTGAAGGTTGTCTCATTCTGTATGTCTGATTAAAGGTGTCTCATTCAGTATGTCTGATTGAAGGTTGTCTCATTCAGTATGTCTGATTAAAGGTGTCTCATTCAGTATGTCTGATTAAAGGTTGTCTGATTCAGTATGTCTGATTAAAGGTGTCTGATTCAGTATGTCTGATTAAAGGTGTCTCATTCAGTATGTCTGATTAAAGGTAGTCTGATTCAGTATGTCTGATTAAAGGTGTCTCATTCAGTATGTCTGATTAAAGGTGTCTCATTCAGTATGTCTGATTAAAGGTTGTCTGATTCAGTATGTCTGATTAAAGGTGTCTCATTCAGTATGTCTGATTAAAGGTGTCTCATTCAGTATTTCTGATTAAAGGTGTCTCATTCAGTATGTCTGATTAAAGGTGTCTCATTCAGTATGTCTGATTAAAGGTGTCTCATTCAGTATGTCTGATTAAAGGTGCCTCATTCAGTATGTCTGATTAAAGGTGCCTCATTCAGTATGTCTGATTAAAGGTGCCTTATTCAGTATGTCTGATTAAAGGTGTCTCATTCAGTATGTCTGATTAAAGGTGTCTCATTCAGTATGTCTGATTAAAGGTTGTCTGATTCAGTATGTCTGATTAAAGGTGTCTCATTCAGTATGTCTGATTGAAGGTTGTCTCATTCAGTATGTCTGATTGAAGGTTGTCTCATTCTGGCTGACTAGCTTAGAGCATCCAACATTTGCATGTTTGATCTGAGACCCCAGCTTTGGCTAACTTTGGATGTATTTGCATGTTTGATCTGAGACCCCAGCTTTGGCTAACTTTGGATGTATTTGCATGTTTGATCTGAGACCCCAGCTTTGGCTAACTTTGGATGTATTTGCATGTTTGATCTGAGACCCCAGCTTTGACTAACTTTGGATGTATTTGCATGTTTGATCTGAGACCCCAGCTTTGGCTAACTTTGGATGTATTTGCATGTTTGATCTGAGACCCCAGCTTTGGCTAACTTTGGATGTATTTGCATGTTTGATCTGAGGAACCCAGCTTTGGCTAACTTTGGATGTATTTGCATGTTTGATCTGAGACCCCAGCTTTGGCTAACTTTGGATGTATTTGCATGTTTGATCTGAGACCCCAGCTTTGGCTAACTTTGGATGTATTTGCATGTTTGATCTGAGACCCCAGCTTTGGCTAACTTTGGATGTATTTGCATGTTTGATCTGAGGGACCCCAGCTTTGCTAAACTTTGGATGTATTTGCATGTTTGATCTGAGACCCCAGCTTTGGCTAACTTTGGATGTATTTGCATGTTTGATCTGAGACCCCAGCTTTGGCTAACTTTGGATGTATTAGCATTGTTGTATTATTTTAGATGAATACCTGATTTCAGGTACAAATGTCTGATTCTGGAGATCTCAGGTTAAGTATAAAATTTTAGGTATTAAATATCAGATGTCTCAGATTTAAAACAGTTTCACCTGATAAAGATTGACATCTGTGTCACGGACACTAATAAATACAAAGACATTGTCGTCGTCATCATCATCATCATCATGGTGCAGCAGGTCTTCTGAAGAATGTTGCTGTCAGGTTGTCATCACAACAGCCTGGCAATCTATTGATTCCACTACCAACTTTCCAGCCTCTTGAACTGCCTTTCTTAACTGTCCTTGACATGTCCACTGTCATGCTGGTCAACCCCTGCCTCTGTTTTCCAGAACCATGCCCTCCGTCCGTGTTCTCTCCAGACTATTCTGGCATTTCATGTCATTGTTTCAGTTAATGAAACTGTTTATGAGCCTGACACCTCAATATGTGATCATTCAGAAGTCTATGTTTCTCCTCTTCTAGACATAACCATTCATATGTAAAAAAAAAAAATCATTTCATATGTACAACATAGAGCCAATAAACAACACCTGTGCTCATTGATTCTGTATGATTATACAGAGATGAAAAACAAACAGTGCAATATTTGTGGAGATAATAGAGATGAGACGTGTGGTTATTGCTTTGTTGATGTTTTAGATCAGGTAAATAGAGTCGGATGAATGCAGCATGTGAGATGCAGGTGTTATATTGAATGATCTCCTGACAGTTTAACTGTGGTACCTGATGTGTGAGTTAGGTTGAGTAATCCTGTGATAGTTGGTGTGTGAGTTAGGTTGAGTGATCCTGTGATACCTGGTGTGTGAGTTAGGTTGAGTGATCCTGTGATAGCTGGTGTGTGAGTTAGGTTGAGTGATCCTGTGATACCTGGTGTGTGAGTTAGGTTGAGTGATCCTGTGATGGCTGGTGTGTAAGCTAGGTTGGGTGATCCTGTGGGAGCTGGTGAGTTCAGTTGAGTGATCCTGTGATAGCTGGTGTGTGAGTTAGGTTGAATAATCCTGTGATAGCTAGTCTGTGAGTTAGGCTGAGTAATCCTGTGATAGCTGGTGTGTGAGTTAGGCTGAGTAATCCTGTGATAGCTGGTGTGTGAGTTAGGCTGAGTAATCCTGTGATACCTGGTGTGTGAGTTAGGCTGAGTAATCTTGTGATAGCTGGTGTGTAAGCTAGGTTGAGTAATCATGTGATAGCTAGTCTGTGAGTTAGGCTGAGTAATCCTGTGATAGCTGGTGTGTGAGTTAGGCTGAGTAATCCTGTGATAGCTGGTGAGTTAATCCTGTGATACCTGGTGTGTGAGTTAGGTTGAGTAATCCTGTGATAGCTGGTGTGTGAGTTAGGCTGAGTAATCCTGTGATAGCTGGTGTGTGAGTTAGGTTGAGTAATCCTGTGATAGCTGGTGTGTGAGTTAGGCTGGGTAATCCAGGTGATAGCTGAGTGTATCTAGTGATAGCTGGTGAGTTAGTGAGTAATCCTGTGATAGCTGGTGTGTGAGATAGGCTGAGTAATCCTGTGATAGCTGGTGTGTGAGTTAGGCTGAGTAATCCTGTGATAGCTGGTGTGTGAGTTAGGCTGAGTAATCCTGTGATACCTGGTGTGTGAGTTAGGTTGAGTGATCCTGTGTTACACTTGTTGAAACAGCTCTGGGAGTAAAAAAGAAATGTACTAGGTCAACAATTTAACATCCTGTTTTTTTGTTTGGCTTTTTCCTTTAGCACAAAAAATTTAAAAAAGATCAATTAAAGGTGGAAACTCAAAGCCAGTGGGGGGGGGGGGGGGGGGGGGGGGGAAGAAATGATCAGTTTTTTTGAAACCAATCCCCCACAAAAATTAAAAAACAAAAACACAGAAGTGAGGGAAAGGTCAAGGATTGGTAACTCTAAAGGGAAAAGTCAAGCCTGACACAAAAACCCCATTTTGTCTCCATTTGGGCCCCTGAATGTCGCTTTGGTCACCTTTATTCCCCCGAATGACCTGAGCCAGTTTTTGGGAGGTCAGCCTTGCCCCAAGACATGACCCGATGCCCATTTTGGGAGGTAGCCTTTACACCAACGGGCCCCCCCCCCCTGGCGGCAAGGATGATAAAAAGATGAAAATATTTTTTAATTTGCATTATAGAAAGNCTCCTGTGGTCTGCCTGTGTGTTCTGTTTTCTCCTGTGGTCTGCCTGTGTGTTCTGCTGTCTCCTGTGGTCTGCCTGTGTATTATGTGGTCTGCCTGTGTGTTCTGTTGTCTCCTGTGGTCTGCCTGTGTGTTCTGTTGTATCATGTGGTTTGCCTGTGTGTTCTGTTGTCTCCTGTGGTCTGCCTGTGTGTTCTGCTGTCTCCTGTGGTCTGCCTGTGTGTTCTGTTGTCTCCTGTGGTCTGCCTGTGTGTTCTGTTGTCTCCTGTGGTCTGCCTGTGTGTTCTGCTGTCTCCTGTGGTCTGCCTGTGTGTGTTCTGCTGTTGCTTCTGTGGAGACTTCTGGGTGTTCATCCAATTCTGGACTGTGATCTTGTCCAGAACTGGACTTCATGTGCATGTCTGTTTTACAGATTTGGTTTATCATGGGTAGATGCACTCTAACTTTGACTGAAATTCCACTAATTATTCGACTTTTAGAACAGACAGTGGGTCAACACCCTCCCCCATGGGGCACCAGAACCAAACAGAGGAATTTCTGGTTCCATCTAGCAGGTAACATGAACATTTCAACAATCTACCTCAACCGAAAATATCATGAGAAATGTCAGAAATGATATAACTAGAGAGCAATGTGATGCCCTCAATATCGGTGGTCATGAAATACTAGAGATGGGATATGTCAATGATACAGTATTGCCATCCACATTACGTGTATGTTCCGGGGCCCCATTGTGGGGAAAACAAGAATAGACCCACTGCCTCCCCAAGAGCATGTCGTAAGAGTCGGCTAATTGGGGAGCTTCCTTTGAAGTCGGAGTGCATCTGCTGGAGAGGCAAGGAACCAACAGTCTGTATTCAAGAGAATGAGATCTGTAAAACTGATGCACACGCAACATTCAGGTTCTGGAGCAGGACTGCAGTTCAGTAGTGGACGAGCAACCAGAACTTTCGGCCAGTGTACAGCTGGTGAACGCGAAGAAGAAGAAGAAGACAGACTTGTATAGGAAACCTAAAAACCTCAACCCAGAGAAATGGTGACAATCCCAACTTATATTTTAACATAGCAAAAACAGAGATAATGCACACAGATAAAGCTACTATGGAGAAAGAAATATATGTTAATGAGGAAAGAATGGAGGTTGTGGAAAATTTTGAATATCTTGGAACAAAATCAAAGGATGACTATTAGTTGCTCTTCAAAGACTCAAACAACTGAATAAATTATGGAGTGGGACAGACAGAACTACAAAAATTAGATTTCTAAGAGCATGCATCTTTTCCATTGCAACATACGCCTGTGAGACCTGGACACAAACTAAACAAGCTGAACAAATGTATCCATACTTCAGGAACTGAATATTGAAGAAAGATGGCTATTAAAGACGATAAAACAAAGAAAATTAAAATATTTTGGTCACTTGAAACGTCACAAAAGTTTAGAAAGAACAATAATGGAGGGGTATATGCCTGGGAAGAGGAAAAGGAGGCCAAAGAAAAGATGGGTGCAGGATGTGGTTCATCGGATGACCTCCAGATGGGTGTTCGGACGCGGAACATCTTGCTTGTAAAAAAGGTAAAGGACGCCTTTCCACGCCTTTAAACGTATAGGGCATATAGGGCTAGACCTATATTTGTATAGACCCATCGACACAAGATGGGTGATGTGGTCAGCATAACGCCGGCCGCCTCTACTTCCCGGGACTGCACCCGATACCCACTCAAGACTGGGTCGACCTGGGAGCCAAGGTCATTTTTGGAAAAAGTCCGGCTCCGTAAGGGAGCAAACCCACGACCTTCCGATCCGCGGTAAGCATCTAGCCGCTCCACCACGGGGTTCCCATCTTGCTTGTGATCTAGAAGTTTCCTGGGTTTTTTTTATAGCAGCAATGTTCTGCAAAGGACATGCTACCGACTGACTGACCTAAACTTGAAGGGTTGATTTCTTGTCTGGTACAAACCGAAAAGATGATTTCAACTAACATAATATTTAGTTATATATTAGACATCACTGGGTTAAGCTTTGTAATGTTTCGGTTTCAGCTGACACAACGCAAGCAGCACAAAGAACAACCAGTTGGTGCCAAGAACGTCCAGGTGGAGCGACAGTATTTCCAGCAGAGACAGCAGTGCCTGGATGAGTTTGTGGAGTACTTTGGCTACATGCCTCTGCTGCACTCGCTGCTGCGGCTGGACACCATGCTGTTCAAGGACCCGGTCTCCAACATGAGGAAGAAATACAGACAGATTGAGATGGTACAGTCCTGACAGTAGTGACTGTTAGTGTCAGTGTGTGCGTGCATGCAAGTGTGTATGTTTGTGAGAGAGATATTACATGTGTGTGTGAGAGGGATTGTGTGTGTGTTTGTTTGCACCATTGTTTAAGAGAGAGAGAGAGAGAGAGACAATGTATGTATTGTGCTCTCAGGTCAAGTCCTGGGACCAGGAATGATAAGATATGCTATTCTGTTGCCATGTGGATTTGACTCTTGTGAGTTCTACAAAGTTGAGATGTGGATGTCAGTTCTTCAAAAGTCACACTAGTTTTTGTCTTCTTACCATTCACCGGTTGTAAACTCCAACAAAAGTGTCATCTTGTTCTAGTTGAGTTTTATGTGCACATCCATTTTACAGATCTGGCTTATTTGTGTGCGGTAGTTGGTTCCTTACCTTTCAGACAGATACGCTCCACCATCAAAGGAAATACCCCTGTTTAGTTGGGGTTAGCTTGTTCAGGTGGATCCAGGGCTGACATGGTGGGGTTAGCTTGTTCAGGTGGATCCAGGGCTGACATGGTGGGGTTAGCTTGTTCAGGTGGATCCACGGCTGACATGCTGGGGTTAGCTTGTTCAGGTGGATCCAGGGCTGACATGGTGGGGTTAGCTTGTTCAGGTGGATCCAGGGCTGACATGGTGGGGTTAGCTTGTTCAGGTGGATCCACGGCTGACATGCTGGGGTTAGCTTGTTCAGGTGGATCCAGGGCTGACATGGTGGGGTTAGCTTGTTCAGGTGGATCCACGGCTGACATGCTGGGGGTTAGCTTGTTCAGGTGGATCCAGGGCTGACATGGTGGGGTTAGCTTGTTCAGGTGGATCCAGGGCTGACATGGTGGGGTTAGCTTGTTCAGGTGGATCCACGGCTGACATGGTGGGGTTAGCTTGTTCAGGTGGATCCACGGCTGACATGGTGGGGTTAGCTTGTTCAGGTGGATCCAGGGCTGACATGGTGGGGTTAGCTTGTTCAAGTGGATCCACGGCTGACATGGTAGGGTTAGCTTGTTCAGGTGGATCCACGGCTGACATGGTGGGGTTAGCTTGTTCAGGTGGATCCAGGGCTGACATGGTGGGGTTAGCTTGTTCAGGTGGATCCAGGGCTGACATGCTGGGGTTAGCTTGTTCAGGTGGATCCAGGGCTGACATGGTGGGGTTAGCTTGTTCAGGTGGATCCAGGGCTGAAATGCTGGGGTTAGCTTGTTCAGGTGGATCCACGGCTGACATGGTGGGGTTAGCTGGGCCAGGTGGATCCAGGGCTGACATGCTGGGGTTAGCTTGTTCAGGTGGATCCAGGGCTGACATGGTGGGGTTAGCTTCACCAGGTGGGTCCAGGGCTGACATGGGGGGGGGGGGGGTTAGCTGGGCCAGGTGGATCCAGGGCTGACATTGTGGGGTTAGCTTGTTCAGCTAGATCCATCCTTAAAGGATAGATGGAAATTTCCTGTGAAGGTAATGCGCTGGGAGAGAAAACGCCCATGTGCCAGTCGGTCTTTCAAACTTGAAACTACCACCATGTTTCCAACTGTATCTTTTCATTCGACAGTAGTTTGTGGGTGTGTTTTATGTGTCGGTTGTACAGTGTAATCTTGAAATTTACCTTACTTTTACTTCAGAAAGTTAACATTTGAAATTTAACCTTACTTTTACTCTAGAAAGTTAACATTGCAAATTTACTTTTACAAATTTTAAAAGGAGGAAAGTTACTTTTACTAAGACAGATTATTTGTATAAGGGCTCATCAGAATTAATTTTACAGTTTAATATCAGTTTTAAAATTTACATGTCAGAATTTGTAGTTAAATTTACAGTGCAGTTATGTTGATGCAAAATTTACATTGCATAAATTTGCGTGTTACATTTCAATTTACTATGTAATTTTTTAAGTTTACAAAATTTTTGTGAAATTAACTTTCGAAAGAAGTGTAATTTTAAAACTGAATTGTACATTTAGAGATGAATTGTACATGGTACTAAAACTGTTAGCTTGTGCAGACAAGTTGACAGCAGGTCTGATGATTTGTTTGTGATCATGTTGAAAGTTTGAATGTAGTCATTCTCTCTTGGTTGTCACAGTCTGACACTCTGTGTGTTGTCACATCTGACACTGTGTGTGTTGTCACATCTGACACAGTGTGTGTTGTCACAGTCTGACACTGTGTGCGTTGTCACAGTCTGACACCGCGTGTGTTGTCACATCTGACACTGTGTGTTGTCACATCTGACACAGTGTGTGTTGTTACAGTCTGATACAGTGTGTTTTCTTCTTAGTTCATGGTTATAATTGTTACAGTTTAAATACGCCAGGCATTCTTGTTCAAACGTAATCTTTAAGGCCAGCTCAACACGTGCTTGATTGTAACTGGCGCCTGGTGGCCAGATTTCTGCTGTTGTGTCTCTTGACTTACACTTGTAATTTTAGAGCTTATATTTGTCTGGGTAAATCATTTTCTTGTGTTTGTTTCCTGTGTCTGCTCCTTCTTTTTAGAATGAGTGTCTCATGCAAGATTATGTGTAGGTATGAAATAGCTTTAGTTTATATGGATTTATATTTGTATATACACAAATACAGCATACATAATGTGTATATCATTTAATTATTCATGTCTGTCAAATAACTTAAACAACATTTTCTGTAAAACAAGAACCCCAGTTATAGTGGGTCAGGCCTGTGTTGTATCTCTTCTAGAGACATGAGAGAAATGGGGCAGGTGAGAAGATAACTTTATAGTGGGTCAGGCTTGTGTTGTATCTCTTCTAGAGGCATGAGAGAAATGGGGCAGGTGAGAAGATAAAATTATAGTGGGTCAGGCCTGTGTTGTATCTCTTCTAGAGGCATGAGAGAAATGGGCAGGTGAGAAGATAACTTTATAGTGGGTCAGGCTTGTGTTGTATCTCTTCTAGAGACATGAGAGAAATGGGGCAGGTGAGAAGATAACTTTATAGTGGGTCAGGCCTGTGTTGTATCTCTTCTAGAGGCATGAGAGAAATGGGCAGGTGAGAAGATAACATTATAGTGGGTCAGGCCTGTGTTGTATCTCTTCTAGAGACATGAGAGAAATGGGCAGGTGAGAAGATAACATTATAGTGGGTCAGGCCTGTGTTGTATCTCTTCTAGAGACATGAGAGAAATGGGCAGGTGAGAAGATAACTTTATAGTGGGTCAGGCTTGTGTTGTATCTCTTCTAGAGACATGAGAGAAATGGGGCAGGTGAGAAGATAACTTTATAGTGGGTCAGGCCTGTGTTGTATCTCTTCTAGAGGCATGAGAGAAATGGGGCAGGTGAGAAGATAACATTATAGTGGGTCAGGCTTGTGCTGTATCTCTTCTAGAGGCACGAGAGAAATGGGCAGGTGAGAAGATAACTTTATAGTGGGTCAGGCTTGTGTTGTATCTCTTCTAGAGACATGAGAGAAATGGGCAGGTGAGAAGATAACTTTATAGTGGGTCAGGCTTGTGTTGTATCTCTTCTAGAGACATGAGAGAAATGGGGCAGGTGAGAAGATAACTTTATAGTGGGTCAGGCCTGTGTTGTATCTTCTAGAGACATGAGAGAAATGGGCAGGTGAGAAGATAACTTTATAGTGGGTCAGGCTTGTGTTGTATCTCTTCTAGAGGCATGAGAGAAATGGGGCAGGTGAGAAGATAAAATTATAGTGGGTCAGGCCTGTGTTGTATCTCTTCTAGAGGCATGAGAGAAATGGGCAGGTGAGAAGTTAACTTTATAGTGGGTCAGGCTTGTGTTGTATCTCTTCTAGAGACATGAGAGAAATGGGGCAGGTGAGAAGATAACTTTATAGTGGGTCAGGCCTGTGTTGTATCTCTTCTAGAGGCATGAGAGAAATGGGCAGGTGAGAAGATAACTTTATAGTGGGTCAGTCCTGTGTTGTATCTCTTCTAGAGGCACGAGATAAATGGGCAGGTGAGAGATAACTTTATAGTGGGTCAGGCTTGTGTTTGTATCTCTTCTAGAGACATGAGAGAAATGGGGCAGGTGAGAAGATAACTTTATAGTGGGTCAGGCCTGTGTTGTATCTCTTCTAGAGGCATGAGAGAAATGGGCAGGTGAGAAGATAACTTTATAGTGGGTCAGGCCTGTGTTGTATCTCTTCTAGAGGCATGAGAGAAATGGGGCAGGTGAGAAGATAACATTATAGTGGGTCAGGCCTGTGTTGTATCTCTTCTAGAGGCATGAGAGAAATGGGCAGGTGAGAAGATAACTTTATAGTGGGTCAGTCCTGTGTTGTATCTCTTCTAGAGGCACGAGAGAAATGGGCAGGTGAGAAGATAACTTTATAGTGGGTCAGGCTTGTGTTGTATCTCTTCTAGAGGCATGAGAGAAATGGGGCAGGTGAGAAGATAACTTTATAGTGGGTCAGGCTTGTGTTGTATCTCTTCTAGAGACATGAGAGAAATGGGCAGGTGAGAAGATAACTTTATGTGAGCTACAGCTGTGTATGATGGAACTGGGGGGGGGGGGGTAAAAAGGGGAGCTGGGAATATTGTATGGTGAGGATTGGAAAGATTGCCAAGGGAGATGGAGAAACTGGAGGAATGGAAAGATTGTCAAGGAAGATGGAGAAATTGTCTGGAGGAGGAATGGAAAGATTGTCAAGGAAGATGGAGAAATTGTCTGGAGGAGGAATGGAAAGATTGTCAAGGAAGATGGAGAAATTGTCTGGAGGAGGAATGGAAAGATTGTCAAGGAAGATGGAGAAATTGTCTGGAGGAGGAATGGAAAGATTGTCAAGGAAGATGGAGAAATTGTCTGGAGGAGGAATGGAAAGATTGTCAAGGAAGATGGAGAAACTGGAGGAGGAATGGAAAGATTGTCAAGGAAGATGAAGACACTTGGAGGAGGAATGGAAAGATTGTCAAGGAAGATGA